AAAGTTCCTAGAACTAGCTCTTTACTGCTATTGAAAATCATAGGGAAATATTAAACCAGATAATATTTTAAAAAAAATAAAGAAAGAAAGAAAAAATAATAATAATTTAATAATAATTATGGGTATCATAGTTCAAAAAATTTAAAAATTTGCATAATAATGTAAATTATCAATCAAAACGAAATCTTAGAACAAATTTTTTTACTGTTGAAACTTTTTGTCGCTCTAAATTTGAACAATTGCTAGTTCAATTATATTTAATTAGAAGGGCTTGTTATTCAAACGAGGAGTTTTTTGGTAGCAAAACGTTATAGAACTTAGTTTGGTTAATTTATATACACAAATGTCATAAGAATAGGAAATGGTAAAGTAATGATCGCTTGAAGTTCGATTACTGTTTTAATAATTAATGATAAAATAAAATAATTTTTTTATCGTTAATAATCTGTCACAATACACCGTGAAATAGCATCCAACTTACGAACTTATTGTCATAAAAAGTAAAAATTATTATTATTTCGCTAAATACTTTGAATATTAAACTTTATTCTCAAACAACAGATTTTCTCCCACTGTATTTTTTTTCTTCAAATGAGATTATTTTAAATATATATTTGTAGTTATAATAACTCTTCTTTTTTCAATCCGTCATTTATTTTTGTAATTAAATAATAATAAAAAATATATCTCAGCAAATATTTCAAAGCATTGTAAATACAAAAATAGAAGGCAAAATTTAAATCAATTAACTGAATGTTGTAATTTAATTAAATTACCGAACTGAATTTTTTGAATTTGCTTGTTATACAATTAAAAGAAATACGTATAGTTATAAACTGATTTTAATCTGTGAATACATTGATATGATTTTAGCTTATATAATGTTATTAGCATGAGATACTATAACTATTTTCATATTTTGATATCGAAAGTAACTATGTAAAATAGAAATAATTAAAGTTAAAAAAAAATCTTGTAAGTCACTAATCTCTAAATCACTTAGTGTAATTCGAAACTCTATGTAATGTCTTTAGGATCCTAGCAATAATCTAAATGTGCAACAATTTACTTTCTGCTCCTAGGTTTTCGAAACTCTAAAATGTTTTAAACAAATTAATAAAAATAGAATTTGTTGACTAGGGTAATTCCAGGATACATGGCCGTAGAAGAAGGATGACCAGTTTAAATATTTTCGATACTTGTTAATATTTTACAGCAAATGGAGTTTCACAGAAATCGGTAAATCAATTAGGGCTAAGCGTTGTTTTTCATGACAGCAAAAAGTTTGTTAATTTTCAATGTTTATTTTATTTAGGGGTCAAATATTTTTTTTGTGAATTAGGCATTTTGTTGTTTTTTAATACGTTGGTTATTGTTTTTTTTAACAATTTGAACCTTTGAGGCTTACATGTAGTCCAATTTTTGTTCCTGATTAAAAAGCAAATAAATATAATGGTTTAGTGATACTATATAGATACGGTGGACATTACATCTTTAACTTTAGGAGAGATTGCCACGTATAATTGGGGAGTGCTAGCCACTTTTTATTAATGTGTATTGACTTATCAAAAGTTGCAAGGATATTTAAAAACTAAAAAAAAGAAAATAAGGTTAATTATAGTGAATTCGAATTCATGTTGCTAAGTAAATAAACTAGTTAAGAAATCTTTGGTTTTGTTAATGGTTTTCGGTTTGCTTGGTTTCGTAATTTTAAAATTAAAGCTAATAGTAAAAAGAAATCCTTATCTTCTCTTATTACAATATTAAAACCATTTTGAAAATTTTTTGAAGGACCATAAGATCCTTGCATATTACATACCGATTCAACAGGCTTATCATAGTACCCTATAGAACATTATATATTACATTCCGATTATTATTATATTATATTACATATATAGTATATATTACATTCCGATTCTATAGATTTATCCGATAGAACCCTATATATTATATATTACATATATAGTATATATTACATTCCGATTCTACAGATTTAACAAATCCGGTAGAACCCTATATATTATATATTTCATATATGGTATACATTACATTCCGATTCTAAAGATTTAACATATCCGACAGAACCATTTAAATATTACTTTCCAATTCTACAGACTTACCAATTATCAGATAGAACTCTGTGTATTACATTCCGATTCTACAGACTTAACATATTTCCCGATTAGAACTCTTTATCCTACACGAAACAATCCTATATATTACATTTTGATTTTAGAGGCTTAGCACATTAGCCGATAGAACCCTATATTCCTATTCGGTGGAACCCTATATATTATATTCATATTTTTTATGCTTAGCATATTATCCGATAAGAGCACTAGATATCCTACTTGATAGAACCCTACATATTATCCTATTCTGCAGACTCTGAATTTGATGAATATCGTTGACTACTAGTAGCTGTAGAGAAGAATTAATACCATAGTTAAAAACGATGACTGGATAAAATATGCAAAGGAGAGTGCAATGGCTCCATGAAATACATATGCAAACTTTGAAAACCTTTGCTAAAAATATGATAAATTTTTTTTCTTCAAAAATATAGATTAAATCTATCTATTGATTTTGTTGATTAGATTCGTTTTATTTTACATGATAAAATTCATTTTTTACAATTTATCATAAATTTTTCATGATTAACTGTATGAAATGAGTTATTTTTCATATTTTAACTTCGTTTTTCCTTTTCTACATTGAGCCCAATGTGCAGCTCTAGTGCTACGTAAATTAACAACAACAACCTTTTCTACATTGAATGGCCAACTCACCAGAGCATTGCGAAGAGATGGCCACTTATAAATTTATTTTTCTTACTCATTACTTAAAATAAGTTGTGTATATGTATGAGAATTTAAAATATGCATAAACATTTCTTGGATCTCGATTCTTTGTACTTTAATTTGAAGAAAAAAACTATCCCCATCGACTTGCCCTATAAGGAAACTAAAAAAATTGACTTCATAAGCTGTAAATCGAATTTTATACTTTAAATGATTGCTAAAATTTAGTGAAAAGATAAATCATATTTTGTTTTGAATATTAAAAGTTTTGTTTTATATAATGATATTAGCATGATTTATTATTGATTTTCAGGGAATATCAATATAACAACATACAGAAGGAAAAATTATTCCACAATTATTCTCTTTAAAAAAAAAAAGATCTTACAGTTTCGTCACACATTCTAACTGTTTTCTTGCTTTCATAATTTTTTCACGTTAATAATTTATAGAAAACATGTGTTCCCCAACTAATCTATGAATTTAGTGACAATCTGAATATGCATTACTTTTATTCTGCTTTAGGCTCTTCCAACTCAATCCGTTTTAAATAAATAAAATAAATAATAAATAAAGTTTAGTTCATATAAGAATAATAAATTGTTTTATTCTAAACGATTGTAAAAGCTCTCATTTTTTAATGATAATAACATAATAAAACTACAATAAATTTACTAAAAGATTATTTAAAAAATATTCTCTGGCATCACCATTTCTTTTTAAGAAGGAATAAAAATGCTGGACATTTTTTTTTAAATATGAAGAATTGATATTGATGTATGCATAATTATAACTTTAACAAACTAGTTTAACAAAAAAAAATTCTTTCAAAGAAACACTTAATGTAAATAATGTTCGTTTATTACGAATTCTTGACCATGTGTACCAATTACAATAAATTATGTATTTAATATACTATATAAATAATAATCATTCCTCATACACTTAAAATTATTATAGCATACTTATACAGCTTCAATAATTTTCAAATTGGAGTGTTGAACTAAAAATAATCTGAATATTGCTCAATCCAAATATTAAGCACTTTTGAAACATAACTATTTTATTAAGCAGCTAAAAGTATTGTCTAGTAGCTCAAAACTATCATTCAAAATCAAATAATTCAAAATCAAATAATTCAAAATCAGAGGAATTCTGCAGACTCTATGATAGAAATTTGAATTTTAGGGAAGGTAAATTTAATTGTCAACTTAATGCTTCAAATAAGTTTGCGATTTTCCGCTAAAATTTTAAAAGAAGAAGAAAAAGAATGTATAAAAAAATAAACCTATTAATTACATGATTTGTAAATCAACACGAAGCACTTTAAAGTAGTTAAATAGTTACAATATCAATTTTATGTAAGCATATTTTGTTGTATATATAAAATATTTAACATACACAAAATCTATATTATTTTAAGATCTTTTTCATATGATGATAAATTAACTCTTAAGAAAAACTGAATAACTTAAAGTATAAAGAATACATTTTAATACCATTAGTTTGAAAAGAATAAATTAAAATTTTCTTTTTACAATATAATGCCATTTGTTAATGCATGTTAACTTATACATTTCACAGAATTTTTACGATTATTGTAATTGAACATTAAAACATTTTTACAATATAATTTTGCGGAATCTATTACATAGCAAAAATTATTTTTAGCCGCTGTTGCCAAGAGTATAAAATTAAAAAAAAAAATTCTCAATGAAATTTAATCCATGAAAGCACAATTTTATCTACAATTATTATTAAAAAATATCAGAGATTTAATAAGCTCATTTTCAGCCATCAAAATAAATAATTTTTTAAGAGTGCAATGAAAATATATATTTTTCTTTTAACGTATACTCATTAGTTGTGCAATTTTTTTCTGAAATAGTGTAAAAATATTTATTTAAAAGAATAAGAATTTCATATGTTGGATTTTTTAAATGGGAATAATACTATTGAAAATTTTCAGTCAAGAAAATAATTTTTCAATTTTTTAAGAACGCAATGAAAATATTTATTTTTCTTTTAACATATGTATACTCATTAGTTGTGCAATTTTTTTTTTCTGCAATAGCGTAAAAAGTTTTATATAAAGGAATAAGAATTTGATATATTTGATTTTTCAAATGACAATAATGCTATGCACTCAATTATGTTGCAAAAAAATAGTAAATAATTAATTATAAAAATTCTTACCTTGACCAAGATGGTGGCCCATACCATCAGAACAATATGGATGTTGCAAACCAGATATTGCCGGATCTAGCAATCCCCAATGTGTGGCCATTTCTGGTCTTAAATAACCGTGACCAGATGATGCAAAAGAAGAAAATCCCGAAGCAGCACGGTTTAAGTCATTTTGGTCGCACCCGCCGGCTTGCGAGGTTGTCGACATTAAAGAATTTTGAGCAAGATTCAGTCCAGAAGTCAAAGCTGAAATTCCATAACCAGAACTCTGCTGGTGATCGTGGACACTCGGAGGCTGAGAACTTGACCAATGGTGACCACTTTGTGATACCATAGATTGGTGATTTCCCATACTTTGTCCAGCAACATATGGAATCATTGCGAGACTTCCAGTTGACGAAGCATACAAAGCAGCGCTGGAGGGAGATGATGGATCAACACCATACCCTGATGATGATTTACCAGGATAAAGATCTCTTCCTGAATAGGATGGTGGGGAGGAATAATTGCCAGCCATGCTGTAGGGAGCCATGCTGCCAAACGTACTGACCATGACTGTATCACTGGAACTGCTAATAGTTGGAGCACGTTCCCTGTTTCTTTCCCCGTCAGGTGGCGCAGGATTCGTGGAATGTTGGGGATGTCGCGACTGGACGACCCCAAGGCTGGTTCTTCTTCGTAGTTCACGCCCTTCACTCCCTGAAGTAGGCGGTGACGAAGAACAAGACTGGTTATATGTTTCCGAAATGGGGTGGTGATTTTCATCGACTATTAGATGTTTCATTGGCTGATGTCGACTGTTCTCTATGATTGATGGCATTGTCTGGTACTCCCATGAGTCGCCAGTGGCAATGTGGTCTGGAAAGTGGGCGTCGTCTGCTACCCAAGCCTGAGTATCGCCGGTTTTGTTTTTGTTTTCGTTCCATGATGTTTCTGGTGGAAATGGATTTTTCGGAAATTCGGCGCCTTGTTTCGGTTTTTTTGGAGGGTAATGACCAGATCTTTTTAAATCATCATAATATGGAATGTTATTTTCAATCTCATTGTGTTCAGATTTGGAAATTTCATTTGCTAAGCTGTTGTTGTTATTCGAAATCATTGCGCAAGAAGAAGTATTCTCATACTTGACATTTACACGGGAATCTTGGCAAGATGTTATCATATTGAGCTCATTAATAGTTTGATTATTATGATCAGGCCAAGCTGCTGATGACTTCTGCTCTAGATGTCTATTCATTTCGCTGCGCTGATCTGCCATAAATCTGTTTGTTTTTTCATTCCACGCAGCGTTAAATTGATCAGATTCATTTACTTCTTTGTTACAATGATATGAATCTGAGACGTTAGCATGTTCTGTAACATTTGCATGGTTAATTTGTGTTTCAGTTCCAGGGTGAGATAACCAGTTATCTACTTGAATTTGGGGTATAGCATGGTGGTGTGAATCCCATTCATTGCTTTGATGGTCAGTTTTGGACAGTGAATGCGCCTTTGAAGGTGAGTGGTGCTGCATTTCCTTCACATTCTTTTCCCAAGAGTAATTTTTTGCCATTTGAGTAGTTTCTTGTGCAGTTCCATGTCCATCGTTTCTATTTGAATGTCCTTCTTGTGGCAAAGGAGATCTATTTTCACCGTGTTCGAAGATCTCGAACCATAAATTTTTGACAGCTGGAGGAACTAAACTATAATCTTCAACAGCGAGAACATTTGAGTGGTCAGTATCCAGTTTATAAGTCTCGTTTGGTTTTAATGTCCAAGATTCCGCAATTTGTACTTCTTTATTCGCACCAGGAGGATTACTATCATCTCTTGATATGGTTTCTATGTCTACAGCACTATCATCAGTGTCCGTAGCGTCAGTTGGTATATGAGTTTTATTACCAAAATCATTTACATTACTGTCAAAAGATTCTTTGGGAAGAACGGGCTGTTCAAAATGGTGCATATTACCAATGTCATTTCTGAAATTTTCTTGCTTAATAAGTGCAACTGCTTCCTCACAGGGTATAGAATTTTTGGTCATAGAATTCGAATGTGCTGGCTCCAGCACTAAATATCCATCAACTGTTTTGAAGGGTATCTTTGGAGGCGAATGTTGATGGGCTTCGTGGTTGTTTACTAATGGAAGGCTATGAGCAGTGGTAAATAAAGCTTCGTTTTTTAACATATGTGCTTCATGATTGTTAACTAACGGTAAATTATGGGCAGAAGTAAATACGGCATCGTTTTTTAACATGTGGGATTCGTGAGATATGGAGGTTAAATGTTCGTGCATGGATGATAATTCCTTTTTTTCAAAGTTCTTATAAGACAAGTTGCGTTCTAAAGTTTCTGGCTTCATATTGCGCTGTAAGTTATAATTCGTTGTGAGGGGTAGGCCTTGTGATTCGGCAATCTCTTTTAAAATGCTGTTTAAATTCTTCGAAGCTTCGCTTTCGACGATTTGAGGATAGGATTCTGAGCTGTGAGCACCAGGTAATGTGTTCATCTTTTGTAATTTCAGCTCTATGCTATCGAAAGCTGCAGGGTAAAAGAAAAGACAAGTTGAATAGATAATACTTTGTTTGAAATTTAAGCTAAAATTACATCATATTTTCCCTTACATAACAGATACTACCTCAAAACATAGATACAATATTTTATGAATGCAAAATATGATACAATATTTATTTATAATGATGAAGGGATTTAGGATGATGCAACACATCGATGCAGTAGTCACCTAAAATTGCAGAATTTATTAAGAAAAAATTATACCATCTTTAGTTCCATGAACATAGATTTTTGTTATAGACATTTGATGGGTAAATACGCAAACGAGAGTGATAGGTAATGGATCAAATCTTCTCGGACATAATTTCACGTGGACAAAACTTCGCTCAAACAAATTCTAAAATTAATAATTAGCACTAAATTTTAATTTATTTATGAATTAATTTTAATAGAAATTTTTTTTATTTACTAACAAAGTGAAGTTATGGATCGGCGAAGTTTTGTCCCAGTGAAGTTATGAACCGGCGAAATTTTGACCCCAAACACAAGTGATATTCAGAAAAAAGTGATAATTTTAAATTTATTTGTATGTTATGGTCAGTATTAGGTATTTAACTTAACCGTTTTCCACCAAGATATTAAATAAAATGCTTATTTTTTTTAAACAGAATTTTTTTAAAACAATTTTTTTGCTGCTGCCTTATTCTTACTCCCATTTATTGCTTTTAAACTCTCTAAGATGTCATTTAGAACATTTTTTTTTTCATTTGCAAAAAAGTTATTTAAAGAAGCTTAAGTTATGATAGTTTCAAGAAATTGTCCATTTGTAATAGATGCCTAATGATGGCTTATTTTGAAAAAAGGTACTAGTATGAATTTAGCATTAGGCATTTTTAACTTATTTTAAAAATTTTAAAAAACGAAAGAAAGAAAAAACTTTACATAATTAAAAAATTCATGTAAATAAACTTTTTAAAGCAAAATCTCCGAGATAATTGTTAATTCTTCATGCATATTCAAGAAGATAATTAAATTTATTGGAGTTATCAAAAGATAAAATCGATCGTGAACAACCTTTACCTATATGATTTTCCTTTTAGTAAAGACATTCAAAAACTCATCAAATAGTTAAATAGAGGAGTCAGCTTACAAATTTCTCATTTATAATTGAGGTTTTTTCCTCCCTTTTTTTAGACTCTACAGTTTGAAAAAACATGAAAAGTTCTCGGAAGTTAGCTTAAAAAATTTACAAAGAATATTTCGAAAATGCTACTACAAGCCTGAAAATAAAAGTTAATTTGTTTAAAAAAGAAAATAATAATAATAATAATTTAATTAAAATATATAATAATTAATTAAAATAATAATTAATAATAATAATAAAATTAATTTAAGGACTTTTTTTTTCGCTTTTTTAAAAAACTTTTTCCAAAGGAAATAATTTTTTTAAAAATTTATTACTGTTCTTTTTATATCCTATTATTATCCAAAATTGTCAATTTTCAACGGAAATATGTCAAAAGGGGGAGGGGTAATTTCTGTTGATGCAGCAGTTTTAAGGTAAGAAAAAATTTTTACTAAAACTTCTTAAAATTTATTTATTGTGTTTGAAATTTTTTAAATATACAATTCGTCACTTTAATGAGGATTTTTGATTTATATTTTGAATTGAACGTACAGCAAAACCTCTCAAGTTGACCACCAAGTTGTCAAATATGGAGCCTAACAATCATCTACTCACTATAGATTTAGGCCTAAGGTTCGTGACTTTCTGAAGGGCTGCAAAGAGTAGTCTAAAGTTATCAATTGTTTCTAAGAAATAATTCGAAATTTTTTTCTTCCCAAAACAATGCAATATTTATTTTAAATTTTCTGCACATCAAGATAAAGCATTTAGTTTTAATCTATAGATGTATAAGTTTTAACAGAGAAAAATGATTTTAAAATAATCTAAATTTAAATAATTTTGATAAATAATTTAAATAAATAATTTCCAAATAATCTAAATATTTTTTTATTTAATGTAAAAAAAAAATTAAAAGTTATTAGACAGAAGAAATGCTAAAGAAAGAGGGCAAGGTCAATAAGCGTTTTTTCCCCCCTCTTAATTAAGATTGTCCTCAGTAAGTTAACTTCAAAATAAATAAATAAAGAGACTGAAACATATAGTGTGCCTGAAGTCCATATTTGTTTGGATCTATTTGTCTGCTTGTAAGTTGACCACTTTTATCTGGAACCAAATTTTCCTCATGTAATAAAAGAGAGCATAAACTTGGTTATCTGATCGCCTTTCTATCTCGTATTTTGACCTCTAAAATAAATCAAATTTGTCGATGCTATTAAATGCTATTCTAAATCCTACACAAGTTGACAAAAAAAAAATCTTTTTAGGATTTTTTTTTCTATTTTATTATGTTATGTATCAAATTTTTACCTGATTGGTGAATTGGTGCACCGTAAAAAAAAAGTATAGTCAAAACTACGAGAATATAGTATATGTATCGTGTTTCTGGCACTATGGGAGCACCAAAAGGTTTTGGTGAAACGTTTTGGTAAAATTAACAATAAAAAATAGGGTTTCATAATGTGTGATAACGTTTGGTAAGTATATGATAAAAACCATTTATTTAGTTAATTTTTTTTCTTCAGTTTTGTGCATTTTTACTATATGTGTGATTGTGTGCTAATAAAGATTATAATTTTGAAAACTGGAATTTCCGGTAAGCCGTTGCCATGTGAACGAAAAAATTACCACATGAATGGTTTAAAATTCGTATATTTTGGTTTTTATGACTAGAATAATGCTTTATTATTATTATTTTTCATAAGAAATGTTATTACTATATAGTACGGTTATTTTACCAGAATTTTCTTTCCGTGTATTGAAAGCTAAACTAAACGTCTTTGTGAATTAACCATGTTGAAAAACCTTTTAAAGTACATTATGTACGTTATTCTTATGAAAATTCTTAATTCTGTATTATAGTGAGATTAATGCACCTTAGCGTAGACCTTGGATTTGTGGTACGTGGGGCCGTGAATTATAGGTCAAAAGTTATAAGAGCTGGGGAAAAAAATTAAGAAGGAAAAAGATAAGTAAATAAAAAAATGAGCATTAATTAATATGGAAGACTCAATCTTTTTATTTATTGGTTTTATCCTTATTAAATGTATGGTAGCATAATAGTTAGTATATTTAGGCATAATAAAGTCATTCGCTGCCGCCCACAGATCCCCATGATTGCTTCGCTTAACAAAGATCATTAACTCCTCGTTCTTTTAGATTTGTTATACGATTTTGTTTGGGATCCATTTTTAAACAATATCCCTTTATTTGATTGTAACTTTTTTATAAATAATATTCAAAAATAACACTTTTCCGTAGGCAAAGATTTGTTTAATCTGGAGGCTAATCTGGAAAATACTAACATAAAATTCAGATTTTTTTCCCTCCAGAGTTTGCATGAAGGAAATTAAAAATAATAATAATGATGCGTTATTTTTATTCTTTATATAGATCTCTATATTTGTATATAATTTGTAGTTGAATTTTTTAGCTGGAAATTAGTTTTTTTGCGAAATAAAATCTACTAAAAGTCATAAGTTATCAAATAATTAATGGAGAGCAACATATCAAACTTCAGCCAATTAATAATAGCCAAACAGTTGTTAGAATCAGTAATCATCATTACATACCGAAAACGTAATGTAATTTTTACTATCAAAATTTAAAATGTTGCATTGTTCTTTAATAAATTTATTTACCTATTCTTACATTTTTTTATTTTATTTTGTGATCTTTAAAAAGCTTCAATAATAATAATAATATTTTATAAATTCATCATGCCTTGATAATTTTGATTATATACAGAATTATAAAGGGGCAAATCAAATGTAACGTAAGCATGTTTTTTGGATATTTTTTCGGATACCTTTTTTTCTCTGTCATTAAAAATAAGCAAATTACAAAGCTTCTTCCATGAGCCACGGTGGCTCAGGATTTAGAGCGTTCGCTTCCCAATGAGATGAACCAGGTTCAAATTTCATCATATAAATTTTGCACCTGATTCGCATCGATCNTTTCATTTTGTGATCTTTAAAAAGCTTCAATAATAATAATAATATTTTATAAATTCATTATGCCTTGATAATTTCGATTATATACAGAATTATAAAGGGGCAAATCAAATGTAACGTAAGCATGTTTTTAGGATATTTTTTCGGATACCTTTTTTTCTCTGTCATTAAAAATAAGCAAATTACAAATCTTCTTCCATGAGCCACGGTGGCTCAGGATTTAGAGCGTTCGCTTCCCAATGAGATGAACCAGGTTCAAATTTCATCATATAAATTTTGCACCTGATTCGCATCGATCCCAGTGCTGATGTAAAATGTCCTCTGTGGTAAAAGGAACATGATAGAATCCCCCTGAAATAGGGCTAAGTGTGGATTTCATGGTTTTTCTCTCAATGTAACCCATATGAGGATTAGCTCCATCAAAAAAAGTCCTCCATGAAAGCTAGCTTGTCTCAATACTTGATTCAGGAGTCTCCTTGTCTTCAGGGTTGGGTTCAAAATTACAAGGCGTCGCAATTAGACATAGTCATAAACTCAGAATCGAATTGAATTTTTAACGCCGTTTATATTAAATAAAAATAAAAAATCTTTCAGGCTTATATAAGGAAGTTGCAGTCCAATCCTTGTATTTTGCTTTGACTTTACTTTTACTGTAATGTGATTTTAAACATTTTGAGATCAAATTCAAGCAAAAGGTGACTAGAAACTTTTCCCAAACTAAAATGTACGCTAAAGAATTTACTTTACTAAATTTCAAAACTCCTTGAAGAAATTTTTCTCTTCCTAAATGTAACTTTAATTTCAGATTTGAAAATTTTCCATACATAATTTTCTTTTTTAACATTTATTTCACATGAAAAAACAACATTCATTAAAAAAAAAGAAAGAAAAGAGAGAGAATAAGGACATTTTGGAGAATTGAATCCCTACTTCCCCTTTTGTCACCAAAA